CCGACCCCGCGCCCCCCGCCCTCCTCTCCCTGCCGCCTGTCCCCTCCGATTCTTCAGTGATTTCCTACCTGAAAAATATTAATCTTTTTGCCAGGCAGGTCAGGAGCGATCAACAGGCTGTTGTATATGACAATGTTTTCATATTCCTCTCGGCTCCCCCTGCCCTCTACCGACTCACTGTAGATGTGACCTTTGGTATTTCAGCCCACACTCAGCAGTTGAATGGAAACAAGTTGAGCACGTTCACTTCTGATAAACATTATCCTTAAACCACTGGAGACCCGAGCAGAGTAAACGAGCTTTTCCGACAGGACCACATCAGGAACACACATTGAGAAAGGGAAAGAAACCAAATATCCAGGAGATCAGAGGCGGGCTCAGGGGTGGAGGGGTGGGAGAGGGAAGGAGGGGGAACAGACAGGTTCGAGGACACGGCGGAGGGGCGAGGAAAGGACACAACTGTGAACACAACAGGCACAGATGGGGAGAAGCTGCCCGGGCAGCGTGGGAGAGCAGCGCAGGGTCACGCCCGAGCATCCCAGCAACCCTGGGGGAGCTTCAGGGGCGCCGAGCGGGTCCAGGAGTCGCGGGGCCGGGCTTACACCAGCCTTGTGCACGGGGATGGCCCCCGGCCACACGCCGCCGCACCGGGGCGGAGACACGGTCGTGCGAGGCGGCCGGGACGGCGGGGCGGGGGCGGCAGGCAGAGCTCGGCAGGCGAGCAGCCTTGTCGGGGATCCGTCCAGCGACTCTCCTTCAGGAAGACCGACGCTGATAAAGCGGATGGGAAGTTTTACGGACGCGCACCCCCCTCCGTTGTTTAATTACACAATTAATTAAAGGCTGGATGCTGCTTCCACTAGTTCAACGCCTCCTGCCTTACGAACACTCAAAGCAGGTCAGCTCACAACACTGAAAAGGATTCTGGCTCCACCAAACGCCTGCGAGTACTGCCTGCGCAGCTTGCCATGGCTTTCGGACGATGGGCATTTGCGCGGCGTGGGGGTCTCCTTTACCCAGAGCTAATTCTATTTAGGTTGAGGAAGCACCACAATTTACAAGTGTGATTTGCTGAACGGGCAACTCATGTGTCTGAAATAACCACAAAACTACCATAGAAAATTTGTTGTTGTTGAGTTGGGGTTTTTTTTTGGTGCTGGAGGGTTGGGTGGGTTTTTTTTGTTTTGTTTTGTTTTGTTTTTTTAAATCTCTGTGGAGGAAACAGAACTATCTGCTCATAGTCCCATCAAATGAAGAAATATCTGCGAAAGAACTACGATCGCCTTCTTTCCACCACAAAACTTCTGTAACATGCCGTTAATTTATGGGAAAAAAACCTCTTGCAACATCCTACTTATTCCTTACTATGCACGTTCACTGCGATACGTGCAGGGTCTGAAACCTAGCTCAATTAATTTGATTTTTTTAAAAAAATATCTTACAAACATTTCAATTAAAATAATACTTATACAGTGCTCATACACACCAGCGACATCAATTTTGTATTTTACTTGCTGATATTTCGTGCACTCCAGTCACCGCATTATTTCTTTTCACTTTTTATTTAATTTATAGAGTCTCTACCTTCGAGATTCTATTTAAAAACACAAAACTATCTCAGGGGAAAAAAATAAAAAGAAAAATGTGATAAATCCTTGATTGGAGCTGGGAAGCCGATGATCTCTGTCTGCAACATGACGTACGTGCGGTGTACGTAAGAGGCACGCACACAAGCTCACAGATCAGGATCTGTACACCTAATGCCAAACCAAACACTTCTTCCACATACACAAACACGCCGTGACCCACACACACTTTAATTCCTCCCAGCTTTGTCTGTTTTTCTTTTAACTGTTAATATATAGCAGTGTCTTTGATAAAGCTGAAATCAGCTGCCAGGCGCTGACATCCTATAGTCAAGCGCAGCGCAGTATTTAATGCGGGGATTAAAGCAAAACCGGAGCCGGTCTTCGGTGGCCAGGGAACATCAGCGTCCCGACGCCCGGGCGCCGCAAACCCCATCCCGTCTCCTCCCGGGGAAAGCGAAGCTGCAGCCGATTTGCCGACCGGTTTGTGGTTTCCGCCAAAAATTACTCCACTCCCACCGCTCACAGCCGCCTCGTACACCACCCATGAAATATTCGTGAGTGAAAAAGTGCTTTATTATAACGAGGCGACCGTAAACGAGGCAGAACTTCTCGTCCGCACCCGCCAAGCCGACGCGGGGAGACCGCGTGCGTCAAGACATCGCTCTGCTTCTCCAGGGAACAGCGGGAGCCTCTCTGCAAGCCCCGGGACCCCTCCCCGGCCGCTTGCTCCGGGCGAAGGGCCGGGAAGGGCGGCGCAGGGGGCCCGCGCTGGCCCCTGGCCTGCACCCCGCAGGGGCTGTGGGCTGGTCGCCCCTCCCGGTCCCCCCGGTCCGAGAGATGCCCCACTGCAGTGCCAGCCCCACTCAGCATCGCCCCAGCACCGACTGCACTTTCCGCGCAACTTACCGCCGGGCAGGTACGAAATAGCCGTCGCTGCGGTGGCGGGGACCCAGGTGCCGCGCACGCCTGATGGGGGAGAGCGGAAGGACCGCCAGCACCGCGCTGTCCGTCATCTCCCCTGGCCATTAGGAGGGCGTCTGGACGGCGGGGCCGCCCCTGGGGGCGGGCTCGGGGGAGCGATGGGCTGCGGCGCCCGGCCCTGCCCACGTTGCCCTGAGGTTGAAATGCAGAAGTCAAGGCTCTCTCGTCGGGAAGCAGATTTCCTTGTGGCCCTTTTTTCCTCACGCCCCTGCTACCTCCGCGGTGGAGATCAGAGAGCCTCGGGGGCTAGTGGAGCCGGGAGCGCAGGAGCCTGCCTCGGGGCATAGGTCTCCGTTTGGGATTTAGGGCAGCCCCAGAGGTGTCCCGCTCAGAGGAATGGGTAAGTGGCTGGGAGCTGCAGGAGGGTTCAAGTGCTGTCAAGAGAGGGGGAGCACCCGTGCGCTGTCATCTGCCGCCGCAGCTCCCTTATTGACTTTGCTCGTGTTCCTACAAGTTGTAAGAACACGTTAAGGGTCAGGAGGAGGGAAGAGAGAAAGCTAATGACTGCTTGGTTTATTATTAATGGTATTAGGCGAGTGCGAGGCAGGATCGCAGCCGAGTGGATGGCTGGAGCCTGTGGCACGTTGTATATTATTCCTGACACCGATCTTAGCAGTTAACATTTTAGCACGTTTGTTTTACAGCCTGGTGTAATTGTGCTGTTAAGCGAGAGGCGCTAACAGCACCAGAAACGGTCTTTAAAAAGTTAGTCGCGACTCAGAAGCACCGCGTTGCCCTTCCCTCTCCCAAGATGTAAAAGAATTTCCTCAACTACTATTTCTTCCTCCCCCTCCCCCACGTCTTCGAAAATGTTTTTCTTTTCTTTTTCTTTTTTTCGTGTTCCTTTTTCCTGTGGCAATAAAGCTGACTTGTCTGTTAGGGCGATCTCGTTTTTCATCTCTGGAATGTGCTTTTTTGGAATATGCTTGACGCACAGTCTGGAGAGCTTCGATATTTGTTTCCACGGATTTTTTTTTTTCCCTCCTCTCTTTTTCCCCCTCGCT